TTTTAAAATTGTATTTTGCAACCTTGCTTTTACAGACAATTTAAAAAGAGCGCGTTTCATGCGCATTTACAAAAAAATCACAACTATCAATTACATTAATTTTTTTGTCTTAGAAATTCTCCCCTTTAGATGATCTTGGATGAGACTTGGAGAAAATAAAAGAGAAAAACAAACTACGGAGCATTCTTTAATGAGTTTAATGACACCATTAAGAAATTGATTCTTTAATTTGAAAAGATTAAAATAAAATAGACATAATATGTCTAGATTATTCAAACAAATATATATTGAATATATATATATATATATATGATTATATATATATATATATGATATATATATATATATATATATATATATATGATTGAAAAAATATACATATATAAAAACAAATAAAAATCTTAATATGCAATTATCCATATATTTATATATATATATATACATAATGTCTACAGAAAATACAAACCTGAATTTACTTATAACAAATGGAAACCTGAATTTACTTTTATAACATGGAAGACTTCAAGCTTGTACGAAAATATAAGAATCTATTGATCAAGTAAGGAAAGGATTTATTAACGAACTGTTTTAAAATTGTTCCATCGGTAAAGATTTTATTTTGCAGCAATTATTTATAAAGGGAAGTAAAACTCGTTAGTTTTTTAGATTTTTTTTAATTTTAAGAACGCTCATAAATATACTTAAGGGATAAATGAAAGTCAAGGTAAATTATAGAAGATGCTAAGTGATATAATTAAATGTCTCATAAACGAAAGTGAGTAAATATAAATATTTTTGTGTAATTTTGGTAAATACAGGGGTAAGACAAATTAATTGGAACAGGTGCAAAATCCACTTCTATATTTCGAAGACCTATTTTATTATGAACTTTAACTAAAACTTCGTAATTGCAGGTTATATCTATTGTAAATACGTTTATTTATCTAATTTACTGTCTTTGTCTTATTTATTTTTAGAATTTAGTCAAATTTAAGCTAAATGCGTGACCTCTCCGACGTCAAAAAAGGGCAAATTGTTGGAGCTCACATGACAGGAGTCTCGACCACTAAGGTTGCTGAACTGTTTGGTTTTTCAAGAGCTACTATATCAAGAACTATAACGAAATTCGAGAAACAGGGCAAAACCTTTAGCAACCGTAGCAATTCGGGCCGGACTTGCAAACTTACTGAGAGGGACCGACGTGCATTGAAACGCAATGTGGCAAAAAATCATCGCATTACTGCGGCCAAAGTGACTGCTGAGTTGAATAATCATCTGAATAGTCCAGTTTCTACTAAAACTGTTCGTCGTGAGCTCCATAAGGCTGCATATCATGGAAGAGCCGCCGTAAGGAAACCTCTTCTGTCCACTCGCAACATTCAGAAGAGGTTGAAGTGGTGCAGAGATCACGATGCCGGGACTGCAGATCAATGGAAGCAAGTCATATTCTCAGACTAGTCAAGTTTTTCTCTTTTCCCAACTTCAGGGCGAGTTTATATGTGGAGGCAGCCCAAAGAAGCTTACAACCCTGACTGCCTTCTTCCAACAGTGAAGCGTGGAGGTGGATCAGTGACAGTTTGAGCCGCCATATCATGGAAATGTCTCAGTCCAATAGTTGCCCTCATGGTAGAATCAACAGCAAAGATTGCCTGAACATTTTAGGAGAACATGTTCATCCATTGGCCAAGACTTTATTCCCTGATGGTGACTGCATCTTCCAAGACGATAATGCTCCAATACATACCGCTCGAGTGGTTAAGTATTGGTATGAAGAGCATGAAAGTGAGCTAGAACACATGGAGTGGCCTCCCCAATCTCCAGATATCAATATTATTGAACATTTATAGTGCGTTTTGGAGCGATAAGTTAGGAGCCGCTACCCTCTTCCGTTGTGTCTTAGAGCTGGAGCAGGTGTTAATGGAAGACTGGCTGAAAATTCATCTGGATGAAGTCAGGAAGCTGTATGATTCCATTCCTAGATGTATTAAAGCTGTATCTGAGGCTAAAGGAGGACTAACTGCATATTAAATAAAAAAAATTTTTGAATTTAATAAGTGTTTTAATTATTTTGTCCAACCCCTGTATGGATGGTAAAATGAGGTGTCAGTGTTGTTTTTCATTTAGATGACAATTTATTCATCGCACCTTGTATATCAAAATGAGATGTCTGTTGTTTTCATTTTTGCGTCATTGGACGACAATTTATCCATCGCAACTTGACAGATAAGCTGGATCTGTCTGCTCTCCCCTTTGCAGCCATGACAGTTTTTAAAAGCCTCAATCTCTTTCCCACAAAAGAAATCTCTCGCTACTCTAGCGCTTTTTCCATAACAAATTTTCTTACAAACTACATTCAGTCCCACCAGTTAAAACCGTCACAACTAAGACGCAATATTCCTCGGTACACTGGGACAAATCATCCCCCATTCACCTCATATCCCGTTAGTAAGAACGAAGTTCCATTCTGACAGCTTCTTTGCAAGAACAAAATCCCGAGAGGGTGCTTTCCCGGTCACTACTTAAATACTTCAAGTCTGTCTATCCTACACATCCTCATAATCTACACTTCTTACATCCTCCTTATGTGTTCATAAAATAGCCTCATTCGGTAATTCGAGTGGATCTTGGGCCATGTAATAGGTGAAGAGTTAGAAAGAAATATTCCTATATATAATCTTTTTTGAGGTATATTTTTCCCGCCCATTTGGTCGACCACAATTCCACTTCATAATTCTCTGTACACGAGAAATGAATCTGGCAAACATCAACCCCAGGATCTGGGAAGACACAGCAGACAGTCGCAAACCACTGTTAACAATGGGGGCCAGAGAAGACCAAGAACGCCCAGTTTTCCGACAAGAGAGTCGGGGTGACAGAACACCATCGTCACACGCGGCTAGTGTACAAGAGGCTGCCTTTCCTAAGCGGGACTCCGCAGTCACTTTAGCAAATGTTTATCCAGACCCTGGCAATTCACGATCGCCTTCCGAGACGGGCGGATGGCGACAAAGATGTTAGCTAATGTTTGAGGTATGCCAGATGCCAGAATTAACCTCTTTTACACACACAAAAACACGCACGCACACACGCCAACACATAATGGCCAGTCACACCGCTATGTCCACTCGCCAATCCCTATTGCTGTCGCCTTCTAGGCATATTTGTATTTGTTCAGCGCCAGCAGAGCGCTGTTTATATTACAACTCTACTGAGTACAACCTTAGTTACAGTTTCTGGGAGAGAACGCATAATCTGGTGTGAACAACAGTTTGAACGAAGTCAATATGCTCAAACCCTCGACCACGATGATACAACCATCGACGTTTTGTGAACATTTCCCTTTTACCTATTTTCACTTAAAAGGTTTGGGTCAACTTGCAGTTTGGTTATCAGGCACTTCCCAACGGCGCCGCACACTGGAATCAATTCCCCAGGCCGATTTTATCAAGATAAATATATATTTATATATAGTTATATATTTTCTAGAATGGATTTTTAGTGATCTGACTGATTTTTTATCACTTTAAACGTTATTTTTAGTGGATACTCGTATCTGAGTAGACGCTCCGTTTATACATCGTTGTGCAAAATAATTGAAACAACCGCTTTAGTTTCCTTTCTTTCACCATACGGTCAGTTTTAAACCCACTGTAATCGACTTCTATTTCTTCCTTAGATTAAATCATTTGTAGCAGTGTGCAATAATATGAATCTGTTTTCTCGGTGTATGATGAATTTTTTTTCGGCCTTGAAAAATATTGCGTCATCCGTGACTTTTTAGATTTTTATCACGCCCAGACACTATTGTCTCGACTGTCGATTAGTTGTCCTATCGCCATGGTCAGTGATGGACGTTACTTCAACAAAGCATACGAAAATTGTAAGGCTTCACGAACACACTGGCAAGTCTTACCAGCAAGCATATCAAAGTACTATACACTGGTCCAAAAACTCTCCTGATTTAAATCCAATCGACAATCTGTGGTCAATCTGCAAGGAACGACTTTGTGGAATCGACATACGAAATATTAATATGTGCACTGGGTCATGTTTCATCGGAAAAATACGAAAAACATAAATAATAATGAAATTATTCGTTTTGTTTCAGTTAATTTTCGCAAGTGTCTACATTCAACAATATATTTACTTATTTTCACGTACTCGCCTGAATGTTCCAGAAATCTTATTAAAGAAAAATTTGCACTCTTCCGCAGGAATCGAACATGCGTCCATCAGGGTAGAGAGAGTTGCTGTTTAGCCCGGCGCGCCTTACCGCTTGGCCACCAAGAGAGACAGGGTAGATACCTCCCAAACAAACCTGGGTCTCATGGTCAGAAATCGAACGCTCTAACCCCTCCGCCACGCGCCCACATACATATATACATACATGTATATCTAAATCGAAATATCAACCAATTAGAGATAGTCACTTAATCATGTATAATTCTTCTTTTCATCTGAATAACGGCGGTTATGCGACATTCTATCACGATTATGACGTGTTAATACCATTGTGTAATCTTCTAGAGTCCTCTATAACGAAGTTGTATTTATTACATGTGACTGCAGGGAATTTAGTGAGTTCTGCAAAATGTCTCACAAATGCTCAATGGAATTCAAATTTGGTCGGAGAAACAATGGAGTACCTGAAGGTCACCCGTATCTTCCTGGAATGATGAGAGGTTCATTGTCTTGTTGGAATAGTCACCAAATTATGGGCAAAAAGAAAGAAAGAAAGAAAGAAGATAATTTGAAAAAAAATGATTATATGATTGCAATGAAATCAACAAAAAATAGTCTCGCCTTTTAAGAAACATATAAATAAAGCTAAATGTATTTTAAGCGAGAGAAGTGAACAAACAACAGCCAAAAACGAAATATGTAGAAAGAAAGAAAGAATATGGAAATGTTAGAAAGAAAGAAAGAAAGAAAGAAAGAAAGAAAGAGAGAGAAATAAAGAAAGCATCATGAAATCTTAAGTAAAAAAGAATGTGGAAATCTTAAGAAAGAAAGAAAGAAAGAAAGAATGATGAAATCTTAAGTAAGATAGATAGATAGATAGATAGATAGATAGATAGATAGAAAAAAGAAGGAAAGAATAAAACTTCAAGTAATAGATAAAGAAAAATGAGGAAATCGTAAGTGAATAACAAAAACTTCTTAAGAAAGATACAAACAGAGGAAAAAGAATATGGAAATCTTAAGAAAGAAGGAAATGGAGAATCTTATCAAAGAAAGAAAGAATGAATGAAGGAAGGAATAACGAAAGCAACAAAGAAAGAAGAAAATAATCATAAAATGAAATATGTATTTTAAGTAAGATACACGACAAAAGAAATAAATCTGTTTAGACAGGTTTGAAAGTAAGCTAACCAACAAAAACAAAAAAGAAATATGTTGAAAGAAGAAAAAATGGGGAAAATTAAGAAAGAAAGAAACAAACAAACAAATGTGAAAAAAAAGAAAGAAAGAAGGAAAGAAGTGAAATGAAAAAAGAAGTTACGGCATAAGATGGGCGATCGTATCTTCTTGTGATGTTCAACTTTGAAATACCAATTGTTCACTCCAGACGTCACGGCATTCTGACCCGAGACAAATTTCTGCTCGTTTGAATTCAACGATTTTTGACTTCATCTTTTAAACTGAGAAATGAAGTCACATGTTTTCTGTTTCTTTGATGATCGTTACAAATGTCCCCCGTTACACATTTTCTGCTCATACTAAAAGAGCTGCGTCTCAAGAAAACTGCAAATTTGATTGCTTGATTCAAGTCGTCTGCATTTCTCAGACGAAGCATTGTGAATATTATGAATTTCATATCATTTTATCTTTCATTTTTATTTTTGGTTACTTCTCATAGAAACGCTCAAGGTGTTTTGATTTTTATATTTAACTGTATTTATATTTAAAATGAAAGTGGTGAATATGTAAAAACAATTTGGAAAACCTCTATTTTAACGAGTTTCGCTTATGAATCGGCGTCATCAGAAAAATCATTTTCTTACAAGAAAATCTGCGTTAGCGAAAGAAAGTGATTCATTTTAAGTAAATGAACACCTGATTACTTTTAAGTGAAGCACCCATAATGCTGTTGTGTTCCTTTTAAAAGCAGTTCATTATACAAAATAGCTACCCATTCAAATAATAGTAGCCTCGGAGTGAAATACCAATTTTGGTATCTAGCATATTAAAATTTTCAAACGTGAAGGTCATTCCCAAAATAACAAAAAACAAACAGAAATTGTCTACTTACTAACATAGTGTATGGATACCTCCTTTTTGTGCACATAGTTTCATTTAACTAAGTATTTTTTAATAATAATTATATTTATTTACCATCAAGTCATGTAACAGTGTCCAGCCATACAGACTGCGTTTTACAATGACACATCCATATAGTGCCTTCACCTATCAAGCACTTGCCAAAAATCCGAGATATTTCTTTATAAAATGTTCTAATGTAGCGTAATGAATTTTACAAAAATGTATTGTGTTATGTATATTTAAATTTATTCAATAATGTTGTATACAAATGTATTATGAATGTTTATTATTTTTCACACATATAATAGTTGGAATATAATATGCAAGTGTTGAATGCATATTGAAAACAAATACTGAATTTCTTATTTAAAATGTTATAAAAACAGAAAATAAAAGACCCTAAGTAAAGAATTCCTTGTATAATTTTAATGTAATTTGACACTGTACTAGGTTTCAAGTAGGGGATTAAAGTTTACACTACATTATTCTAAGTGCAGGTTGTTTTAATTAATTTACACCATAGATATAATGTGCTTTCAGAATATAGTGATGTACATGAACGGAATGGAGTTAATACCTAGGTCCTAACTCACTCCTAATGTTTAAGTTTAAAAATCTTATAAAAAGCGTGTACTAATAATTAAGCTAGATTTTATTTAAGGCAAAAATTTTAATGCATGGAGGAAACTCGTTGATTTTCTTTATCCTAAAATATATTCTTTCTACTAAAAATTGGAAATTATTTAAATTTTTTAAAAAAGTGTTAATTCAGGTAACTCTAACAGCCGCTTAATTGGACCGAATTTGATTCATTAATTCGTTTTCTATGGCTTATCAACCCTTTGCAGGTTATTTAAAGCCAGAAATTATTTTTAGATTGTGAGAATTTTTTATGGAAATTATAATGGTTTAGTGATACAAGCCTTACTAATTAACCCATAGCAAGGGGAAGAGATGAATTAATATCTTTCCTAATGGTATTTGCGCATAAGTAAATAGGAATTGGAATTCACCTTTCTTATTAACAATTCCGAAACGTTATCCATTATTAATCTTGTACATCTAAGCAACCGGTATTCCCAACCGGTTAGGCATCTAGATACTGAACAAGACTGGATTTTGCGGCGTTTCAATGTGATGTGCCTGTAAACCCGAATTGGTCCGAAATGCTCTTTTCTATAATACCTTAAATAACTAAAATCTGCTATACATCTTTCTACTAAATATACGTCCTGGGTATGACGATAAACTACATCCAGCAGCAAGGCTTCTGATCGGGAGATTGGAGCTTTTGAGGAGCGTGAAACCACCTCTTAGTTGCTACTGTTCCTATGTCTGACTCTTTGTGGGTGCCATCCCCCGCAACAAGAACACCATAAAAATATAAAAATATATTTTTATATAAAAGGACCGACAATTCGTAATCAACAATACAGTATAATACAAGGCATACAATTGTGTTCAAAGTATTTAGATTTCGGCATTAAATAACCCAAAGAAGTGTTGATATGCCACTAAACAAAACCAAGTAACCAACATGAACTTTCATGACATTAATCCATATAATATCCTGCCATTTCTTAAATGAAACTCTATTCCAAAATTTAAGTTTAAAAATTATAAAATGCAATGACCGCCTCTGGTAATTATATCTCCACTTGTCTCTGCCCAAAAGCTGAGTATCATTTCCTATGTATTCCTATGTATCATTCCTATGTATCATTTCCTATGTATCATTTCCTATGTATCATTTCCTATGTATTCAATTGGGATAGAATAATACAGGGTGCGGCTGGTATTTGAAGACAGATTTTATGAATTAGTAAAAAAAAATCTTGCTGAACAAATGAATATAATTATATTTGATTACAAACAAGTAAACATGAAATTTAGCTATTATTTCATTTTATTCAATAAAACCACCACTAGCATCAAGAACTGCCTCTACAAGAGGTCAAAATCAAGCTCTGATTAATTGGTCCTTATTTATGCAGCTTTAAGAGAGTCTTTGGTTTTATGAGGCTGTTTATTAACCTCCTTCTCAACAACGCTTCACACATAATAGTCTAGTGGATTAAGATCTGGAGAGTTAGGAGGCCAAGTGTTGGGTGTGATGTGGTCGTACAAATGGTCAGCCATTCATTCTTGTGTTCGTAGAGCCTTGTGGGATGGAGTCTTGCTGGAATATGTAAGGCCTGCCGTTGCATAATGTCGCCAATACAGGGCATGACAACTGTTTCTAGAACCTCAATGTAAGCAGCAGCATTTACTCTAAAACCTTGTGGAAAAAAGTGTGGTGGCATAACATGTTCTTCATTGCTAACAACACCCAATACCATAACACTTGAAGGAAATTTTGTACGCATCACTCTTGGCACCTCAGAAAGATCTGAATAGTTTGTTTAAAAGCCTTTTGGATCTGTTTAAACGGTTTTCTTTTGTTTTTTTTTCAGACATAAATTAACTTCTCTTCATCACATAGGACTTGTATCGAATGTCTTCATGAACACTTCTTCTGATTGTTTTTTCAAACTGTTGTGTATGATACACCTAATTTACATAAGTGGAGTACCGACCATATAAATATGGGTTGGTACCGGAAGACGACGGAAGATTAAGAGATCGAATCCAGAGACTCTGCCCGACTGCGACTTAGTCAACCCATTCTGCAGGAACAGTCTTCCCAAGAATATACCAAAACTACCTGTAAATATTGTGTACCTTTTTTCATTGTTTCAATACATTTGTTACGTACATTTTGTGTTGTATTATTATTATTCCATGCTTATTCAAGCTTCAACACAAACACATGCAGCTTTTTGGCAACTGACCTCATTGATTGACCTCGGTTTTCATCAATTGTCTGCTTGACTTCCTGAATAAATTCAGATGTTCTAACTTTATCAGAACGTGCAGAATGTCTTTTACGTTTTGATACAGACATTGGGGAACTGTCAGCGTCTTCTAACTCTTTTCGTATCTTGTGGACAAACGATCATGCAACTTTGAGGAAATTTGCAATATCCAAATCGCTATGATCAACCTTTAATGCCACAATCACGGCAAGCCTTTTCATTTCATTTGTTATCATAGGGTTTGCCATTCTTGATTTCTAAAAAAAAAAATAAAAGCATTAGAAGTTAGGGGGAAGCAGTATTAATCTGAAATCTGTATGTCCTCAAATACCAGCCGCAACCTGTATATGATTTTTATTACTTCAAATTTCCCCAAGAAAACTATTTCTGCATTAAATAACCCATAAGGTGTTGACATGCCGTTAAATATTTTTTCACTCTTTATATAAAGTATATACTTTATACAAAGAGTGAAAAAATATTTATATTTCTCTTCACTTAAGGATTTAAAAAAAATCCCTTTGTGTCCCAATTAACCGGAATACAAAGTTATAAACACGCAGCGTTTGAATCCAGAAATAAACGCACTGGATCAGTTTTTTTTTTTTTTTAATAATGTATCCTTTTTTTAATAATGTATCCTTTTTTTAATAATGTATCCTTTTTTTAATAATGTATCCTTTTTTTAATAATGTATCCTTTCAAGATGTTGACAACCGTGATTCTCTGCTGATACGTTCTCTTAATTATCTGTGAATTGCCATGATTTCTTGAGAAATATAATAGAGTAAGTTTTCCGCTGCCTTTTGAATTCAAAATAGTCCTTCTCTTTCACTGTCAGCTACGCAAGGCTCGAAAGCCCCATTTACCTCCAGTAGCTGGGAGCAGAAGAGGCGGTTTTAAGCATTCCCCAAGGGCAAACGAAGCAGACTAGGCCAAAATTTGAACTCGCATCGCAGATACCACTTTCCGAGCTTTTATTATTACGCAAGAAATCCTCTTAGCTGTTCTGATTAATGCAAAAGAAGACTGAAGAACCCTCGTCTTAACCCTCAAATCTGCACAAATGACCAAAGATTAAAATTTATTTTGGTATCCTTGGTTTAGGTTGAGAACATTTCATTGCATCCCCGTCAAGATAATGACGCCTAAACCTCATTCTGGTATTTGGGAAAACCGAAATTTCGTAGAGATGCGTAATATTTTGAATATGAAAATATAAATTTAAATGATATTGTGTCAAAAATAAATTTTGAGAAATAAAACATTTGTGGGGTATCCACAAGAAATAACCCACGCATCCTCGATGCTGTAAATTTCAAAATCGGTTTCGCAAAAACGTAGTAGAAAACCCTACCCCCACCTGATAATGGTGATGAATAATAAACCAATCAGATTTACTCGATTTCAATTTTTAATGAATGTATGCGTGGTGTAGTAGATAGCGGCTCGGAATTTGAAATTGAAGAGCCGAGTTCAAATTCTATTAAGAATCGTTGCATGTCCTTGCGCACAAATACTGTTTTGAAAAGGTATAAACTATCTCCCCCCTCCATCTATGGGTTAAGAATAGGACTTGTACCCGGATAAATTATTGTAAAAGAAAGTTACTCATGCAATATTCACTCACAAAAAAGAATTATTCTGACAATCCAAGATATGTTTTCGTTTTAAATAATCCACGAAGAAAAGAGTTGATATGCTGTAAAAATAAAAAAAAAAAAAAAATAAACATATCAATCACTAAAAAAAAAAAAAAAAAAAAAACAATATTTTAATTCTCAAAAATCCCAAGCTCGGAATCTCTGAAAAACAAAAACTTCGACCCCAATATCAGAAGAGCTTCTTGCCTCAGAAGGATTCGCAATTAATCGTCTACTCACTTTTGCCGTGACATTTAAACCCAACAACATCAGAGGAAATCTTAAGTATCTCTATGTAAACAAACCCACTTTTATTCATGCATATACATATATATCTTCTATTCAAATTGCAGCTCTTAAAAATATATTTATTTCATTCAAAATCTTTCCTATTTTTAAACAACTTTAAATTACACCAACATACTTTGCTAGTTTTGTATCTAAATCGTGTTATACTCTGATTCAAATTATATCTCTTTTTGATTCATTCCACTTCAAAACATGTCGGCCGGATGTCAACGCTACGAAAGTAAAAATTAAAAATAAAAGTCGCTCGCCGCGCAGGGTCTCCGAGCATCACATCACGAACCATTGCCGCAAAAGCAAAAGTATAATAAATAAAGCTTACCAATCTAACTGCATAAAAGGACTCGCTCGCGACAGTAGGCAGTAAGGCAGGTAATCCCAGACACTACCAGTGGCCTCGGTCAACCAACACGCTACAAGATTCAACGCCAGACCCTTCCGACTCACCCATCCTCCATATAGCTTCCCTCGCCCACAAAATGATATTCCACCTTGACCCTTTATATCAGCAATACAGAGAATGTAATTATAACAGAACGTGTCCCCTTTTTTTCTGGCTCACCTGCCATACTTCATTATTTGAGTTTGTTCTCGTGCTCCCATACTTGATATATAACAATTGTTTGCTTGAATCGTTTATAAGATTATCGTTTATAAGATTATCGTCCTTATACAAATCTATTTATTTATTGTTTTTTCCTTTTTCTTTTTTGTTGTTTTTTTTTTTTTTTTTTTTTTTTAATTGTTCTATTCTATTAGGGAACTCACTATTAACGTAATCGTGACCCCACACAAATATTGTATCTTGGGTTCCCCATACGTTTATCTTCGATAATCTCTTTGCTTTTTTGTAGGAATTCAAAAATGAAATCCTTATGTTTAAGCAATGATTGACAGGGCCATGTGCATTTTGGCAACTCTAGACACCGTGAGAAACGACTGGGTAGTTATATGTTTTGTAATTTTCATTTGTGCAGTAATTTCGTCATCCACCCAAGAGTGTGTTATACGAGCCTTCTCAAAACAAAATCTTCCGTTAAATAAAATAGGTCATCGTGAAAAAAATGTAAATTATACTCTCAAAATTGAAGCAAATATCGTTTTTTTTTGTTTTTTTATAAGGATCTTTTTCCCAATGACTATGTACAGAGTAAGGTCAAACGTCTCGTGGGCCGACAGGAATCTCTCGTCACCACTATTAAGCATCAGAAGATGACATGATTTTGCCACGTCACACGACATGTCAGCCTCTCCAAAACCATCATGTTGAAGGCGAACGCAAGCGTTGTCAGCAACATAAAAGCTGGTCAGGTAGCCTCAAAGAGTGAACGGGACATGAGAGTACCGGAACACCTGAGCGCCACCGCCAGCAGATTATTCTCGAGGGGGTTGTCTGTTTCTTCTGTCATTAGGTCACCCCCGATGATTGAAGCTGTCAAGAGACTGATGATGATGATGAGGAGGAGGAGGAGGAGTTTGAAAATAGATACTTTTAAAAACTAGACGGAAGTCCCGAAAGTATACGGAAAAATGTATATGAATTTTTTGTTCACGCTAATATCTTCTTTTATGCGTCGTAACCTTAGAGAATGTGGACAATTATGGCTCCCCACTACTTCCTAACCTTTGTTTGTTTTTGTATTACGGCATATCAACCTCAATGAGCTATTTAATGCCGACAAAATGTTTATTATTATTTTCCCCAAAAATGTATTGTTGGTATTGAAACCGAATTTACACTTTCATAGTATTTTACGCCAGTTTGGGGGTTAACTATTTGCTCAAAGCTAGAACCCCAACAGGTGCCACCACCCCGGGTCAGGATAGATCCGGGAACACCAGCAACCAAGATTCCGTTCCAGGCTCCTCAAAACCTCCTGATCAGAAGCCTCGCCACCGGATGTAGTATATCGTCATAGCCAGGACACCCTACCCTTTGTAGCTCTTAGCACTGCTTGTCTAATTACTATCCTTCCCAGTCAATGGTCTGCCATCCATTTGCACAAAAGCACACAATTAGTTAGTTTATGATCTGTTTCCCTCTATCTCTCTTGCCTTCAGCATGTCAATTTCTCTAAGCCCAGCTTCCTTATTTTGTGTTCGAGAAATTTCAATTGTCTTTTACTGAAAGTAGGTATGTGTGTTTTCTGTTCCTATTTTAAATTTTAAATTTCTCTATGCTCACATATGGTATTCTCAAAATCCTTCTGTAGACCATCATTTCTGTTGTCTCAAGTCTTCTCTTTATCTTTGATGAAATTGTTCAATATTTGATGCCATATAGAATGACTGATATTGCACAACAGAAGTCTTAGATGCCGACGAAGGTTTTCCTATTAGTATTTTGCTTAATTTTTTAAGACATCTTTCGTACCGACGACCATTCTGCGTTCAAAGTCACTAAAATAACTTTTCAGATGAAGTTAAGCATGTTGCCATTACTATATATAAATGCCTATACTCATTAAATTGCCTTTCATGTCATTGGTTGATTAGAAATTTGCATTTTTTTGTACACGTGTAATTAATTAAGTGATATATATGAAATTTTAGAAAAAGATGAACAGCTCTAAAAAAGAGTCTGCCCAAAAGTTGTTTACTGACAAAAAAAAGTAAAAAGTGCTTGATGCCATGAGAAATGACAGAGCTTTAATATACTAAAATAGAAATCCTGATTTTGCAGTGACAGGCCACGACTGCCAGTTTCATGCGTTTTATCAGACGATTGGTGGATGTAGAATGGGTACACTATATACCCCTAGTCGAGTTCAAGATGGCGAACCAACCAAACGCCCGCCAAGACGAACCTCCTTTAATCAAAATAATGAGTCGAAGTTCTACCATACGAAAACTGTCTTCAAAAAAACTAAATTATAGGTTTTTGTTAACACAGGAATACTTTTAATGATTTAATATATGTATGTATATATACATACATGCATGCATATATATATATATATATATATATATATATATATATATATATATATATATATATATATATATATATATGCATGCATGCATGAATGTATGTATGTAAGTGGTGCAAATCATGGGTGATGTTATGTTGGAATCGTTTTGCCTAGAGAAATATTGCTAATAATTACACAAAAAGTATAGAAAAAAGTTGGCGCTCAAGGAAGAAACCATTCTGAACTTCCAGGGTGTGTAGGTTATCTTCATAAACGTGTCAAGTCTTGTGTAGACTCTGAAATGCCAGATTAGAGATAATTTATAGCTCTTATGGATTTCCATAAATACTAAACAGACTGAGGTAAATAGACCGCTGATAGATAGATAGATAGATAGATAGATAGATAGATAGATAGATGAGATAGATAGATAGATAGATAAGAACAGCCTGAGATAGATAGATAGATAGATAGATAGATAGATAAGAACAGCCTGAGATAGATAGATGAGATAGATAGATAGATAGATAGATAGATAGATAGATAGATAGATGAGATAGATAGATAGATAGATAAATGAAAAGAACCAAATGAGACCAAATGAGATAGATAGATAGATAGATAGATAGATAGATAGATACTTACATACATACATATATACATAGATTACTGTCCATGAGAGTTTTTCGAATTTCATTATCACAGAAATACTCAAACTAGCAAATACCGTGAAGATTACGTCGACCCAGTAACTGAGCGGGTATCGACTTCCTGTCATTTTACTTAAAGTTTTCACCATAAATAAAACCTCATAAAATGTAAATTAATAGGAAATAGGTTTCGCATCTCTTGCGAAATAAACTGTTTTTTCCGGCTTTCTTTCTGGTCATCATTGGCATTTTTTCTTTCTTCATCTCGCTTAGCGATCCGCCTCAGTTATCAAAGTAGTAAATAAACATGTACAACGGATGCAAGGAGAGAAAAAAAAACGAATCATATTTGAAAATATTCAAAGAAATCAGTGATCTTTTTTTTTTGTTTTTGTATAGCCTTAATTTTGTTTACTTTCTAAAAGTTCCCAAATCTGTTGGAAATCAAATTTTCGGTTTAAGCATTAAACTTTCTCTTGGTTATGATTAAATAAAAAACGATGTATATTTTATTTATTTATAATTATCTCGTTTAGAATTTTCATTGCTTTTTCATGGCGGATATGTACTCATTATGGGGGATTAATTGTACGTATATATAAACAGTGTGGCGGCGGCTGCTTCTTCTTCTTCTTCTTCTTTTCTTCTTCTTCTTCTTTTTCTATGTACCGTGTCCCTTAAAGACGTAGGCGATCATGAATCTCCAAAATTTCCTGTCATTTGTAGTTCTTTTTTTTATAAATTTTGTCTTTTTGTTATCTGATAAACCTTGTTCCATCCATTTTAATAACGTTTGAAGTAATATATATATATATATATATATATATATATATATATATATATATATATATAAATATTTGTGTGTGAGAGAGAGAGAGAGAGAGAGAGAGAGAGAGAGAGAGATAAAACCAACCATCCGGAACTGGGATGGATTGAACTCGCTACAGTCGTTCGAGTATCCAAGAAGAGTGTTTTTCAACAGTTTTTTTCTTCTGGGTATGACATCCGAACCACTTCTTAATTGTTGGTGTTCCCATGTCCACCCTGACCCGGGGTGGTAGCACTTTTTAGGGTCCCAGCTATGGGAAAATAGTTAACCCCGAAACTGAGATAAAAAGCATTATAAAAGTGTAAAAATAGGTTTTAATACCAGAAATACTTTGTAAAAAATTATTAGCAGAAATAAATTTTTGAAAAAAAACTATTACCAGCAATATATTTTTGAAAAAAGACAAAAAACAATATACCAGCAATATATTTTTGAAAAAAATATTACCAGCAATACGTTTTTTAAAAAAAATAAAGGAGAAAGAAAAAACATATTACCAGCACTACATGTTTTAAAATAATATTACCAGCCATACATTTTTGAGGAAAAAATATTACCAGAAATAGATTTTTCACAAAACAAAATATTACCGGAAAAAAAAAGTTGTCGGCATTAAATAACCCACTGAGGTGTTGATATGCCATAAAACACAACAAACCAAACAAACCAAATCAAAACACTATGAAATTATAAAAATGTATTTTTATAGTAAAAAAAGTTACCAGCAATTTATTTTTGAAAATGAAATTACTAATGCTGCCAGGAAAATTAAATTTTTGCATAAATTACCCGTATGCCGCTAAACAAATAAACAAAACATTTTCAGCAGTACTCAATGTTCAAGAACGCTGCTCAAAAATATCATGCGAATTAAAACGTTGTGGCATTTCCTCTTAATACATTTAAATTGCTTTTGCTCTTACAGGCATTAAATATTATCTGATCTGCTATCTTCTTTTCGGGGATATCTGATCAGGTTTTATTATAACTACAAAGAAAATCTTTTTTTTTTTTTTCTCAAAGGTTTTCTACGTACGCGTAACTGGTTCTCAAGACATGCAAACATGCCAGACTTTGTATATATCTTGTATATATATATATATATATATATATATATATATATATATATATATATATATATATATACCTTTGTATAGACCTTGTATATATCTGACAGCTGTGCTATTATTTTTCTATGATGTTCTCGGCTACAACTCGCAATGACCCTTTAAGATACCGACGCCGTTTTCTATCACTTCACACCGAAGTTATTTATGTCCGTTCTTCAGTTGGCTTGTCTATCTTTCCGCATAGTCATCCGACTTGGAGCCCCGCAACAATCTTGTGTATACGTGCCTACACGCATGCTCAGTGAAGCATACATGCCAATTTCCGGCTGAGTTTTTCTTCCGCCCAATGATATTGGTATTTTCAAGTTGTCATTTCGAAGTGGCTGTATTATTGCTAAGTTAACGGGCTTATGGCATGAGACGTTCAAAAAGTTAGTGACATTCAGAAAGTCATTTGTACCTGTCTTGACTAAGAGAATAGTTAGAATGTTGAAATGCTTAATAATCCTTGAATATTTTTTTAAAATCCTTTCTCCCTAAGGAAAACAATAAACCACTAAAACGCAAGAGGTTATTGAATGTTAGAGAATTTAAAAAAACACTATTAAGGATATGAGAGAGAAAAAAACATTAAAAGGAGAGAGAACAATAAAAGAAGAGGAATTAAGAAGACAACAGATAACGATTGACATTGCAAATGAAATTATTTATATGAAATGGTACAAGAAGCTACATTACGTCGCTAGAGAAGTGACTGAAGCCGAGATGCCAGGTCAGGGCCATTAATATTACAGATTCTCCTTTGGATTTTATGAAGAATTTCTAAATATATAGCAGAAGAGCCAGAGGAGATGCAATATTCAAAGCAAGAACGAATGGTGGATTTATAAAAGTGTAAGATAGAGTCTGGCGAGAAATAAAATATCTTACACAACACAAAGAACCAACTTTCCTAACAGAAGACCTAGCAATTAATTCAATATAGTCTTCGTATTTCATGTGAGTGGAAAACGTTATTTCTTGTCTGAAATATGTATGCAGATATAAGAACTACGATGAGTCAAAAGTAACATTATTTTAACACATGTCCCATAACTGCTAATAGACATAATATATAAATCGTCTACGCAAGTGGAACAATTATTATGGAATACAATATTCTTTTAATACCTCAGTCCGATTTCCTGTTTGGTACCTCGAATTCATGAATTTAATCACAACACTAGATTGGCAGTTAGGTCTCATTATTTTACTGTTGAAATTGCTAGAGGCAACCGTAAGTTCTATGCAAATAGTTTCTTCACTCGTGGAGCTTCCTTCCGACATTTTGTTTTCCTGTCAACTACGATCTTTAGAATTTTAAATGCAATGTCAATCGTCATCTTCTACCTTGTAGTTCCAGTTTTCTTATATTTGGGATTTTTTTTGTTTTGTTTTTAACAACGCCTTACCGAATTATTTCAACGACTCTTCTATTGTGTAGCAGCGTCCATCGATCGTTTTCAAGATTATTACAGCGAAACTTTCATATTGCCCATCATTATCACCATTAGTCGCTATGATTTATTTCCCGCCATTTATTGCTGTTTATTTCCCCGCATTCATTACGGACTTGCACAAGTTTATTTAGTTTATGCCACTTAATTAATTACTACCACAGAATTATATTATCTTTGCCCTCGTTTTTGGAGGTTTTCCTTTACTTCTCTTACCAGACACACTATCTTCTCAAGGCACAATGTAGCCTTTAATCTTTTAATTGATTCGTTGGTTCTTTCTAGAAGTGGTACATTTCTAAAAATGCCAATTTTCACTTTGTCTATCGGTTTGGGTTATGTGATGCTACAACAAATCATTATTTTGGAATGTCTTAATTTAAGCTGAAAGCTTTTAAGTCACTATCACGAAACAATATAAGAAAGACGAAATTTAATACAACTAAACATAGCAAAATTAGTTCTAATTGAAGAAAACTGACATTTATTTTTGTTCACGAGGTTCAACAACTTGGCACTTTTCAACTCGAGAATTAATATCCTGCAAACCTTATTTTTATTAGTCATGTGTGATACACGCTTAGGCGATCATGTATCTTTCAATACATGGATAACATGGCAGATTTTTTCCCGCAGTAGTTTGCCATTTTCTTCAGCGCTAGACCAGTTGCCATCCAAGGCTATAGAACCCAGTCTGTCCTGCTATTTACCCATAGCTTGGTGGGGGTGGAGAAGAAGAGGATTCATACCTTTCCCATTAGCATATAAGTGAATATAATGAATTCGACTTGAAATCGAACTCGGCTCTCTGATTCTTCAATTCGAGCCGCTATCCATTACCCCACCATGCCTTTAGCAAACTTTATATCACTCTTTGCCCCAGGCAAATTTCTGATATCAGTTTTTGAATCCCAGGAATATTAAGTTTCCCCGTAAAAGTGATTGACGCTGCACAATCTTCACCGTTTCTTCGTATGCTTTTTTTATTTTTTCATCCAGAACTTATTAGTTGATTTGTTTTTTAGAGTTAATCATTCTTTTGCAGGCTATTTAAAGCTAGAAAATATTTTTAGATTGGAAGAATTTTGGGAGATAATAGTGATTTACTGAGATAAGTCCTACTAATTAACCCATAGTTGGGGGAAGGAGAAGTGGATGCATACATTTTCCCAAGGGTATTTGTGTGTAAGTGAATATAACGAATCCAACTAGATTTAGAATTTGGCTATTTCCAGCCATTGAGCATTAAACCACCAAAGCTTACAGCATCTGATATTCTCAAGCGGTCTCCAATCTAGGTACTGACCAGGTTCGACGTTGCTTAACTTTTAAAGCAACCAACCACGAATTTGCTACGGATGATATCAAAGAGTGGAGGTTAATTGGTTGCATTTCTAAAAATGGTTATTTTCTCTTTGTTCATCTGTGACGCTACCTCAGGATATGATTTGGGAATATTTCAGTTTGAGTTGAAAGATTCCGAGTCCATAAACACGAAAGAATATAAAACAAACACTAAATCCAATAACATGAAATATTAAATAGCAAAAGTTGTACTAATTGGAGAAAACTAAACTGGTTCGTTGATTTCCTTTAGCAGCATATCAACACCTCTATGGGTTCTTTAATACCGAAATCTAAATATTTGGAACTTAGTTTTATGGCTTCAGTTAAATATATTTCGAACGTAATTGTAAGCTTCAAATATGGATATAATGTATTGTTGGTAATTCTACGATACAACTTATTATTGGTCATTTTGCTTTACCAATGTATTGTTAGTCATTTTACTATGAATATGTATTTTTATACTTTCATATTGTTTTATTTTTGTTTGGGGATTAACTATTTGCCCATAGCTGGGACCCTAACGGGTGCCACCACCCAAGTCAGGGGGGGGGCATTGGAAAAGTAGCATTTAAAAGGTGGTTCCACGCTCCTCAAAACTTTTAATCTCCCCATCAGAGGCCTTGCTGCCGAATGTAGTTTATCGTCATACCCAGGACTAGAAGAAAACTGAGAGATTTTATTTAAATGGAAATAATAATAATAATAGTGGGAAAATTACATAAAGACACTCAATAGATTTGGATTTTGTCACAAAGATTGGGGAACTAGAAGAAGCTATTGGTATATTGGAATTAGTGAAGGAAATTTTTCTCCCTGGAATCGATCCTTCAAATCTACAAATCAACCATCAGCCCTTGCATGGAGTATTGCTGCCATATATGGTCTGGAGCCCCTTCCGTTCGCCTCGGGGTTCTTGACAAGATCCAGAGGCGGATATGTAATATAGTTGGCTCTGATCTAGCATCTCGTCTACAGTTGCTCTCTCACAGACGCGCCGTCGCCTCTCTCTGTCTTTTTTACAAATACTTTCATGGTAATTGCTCCGAGGAGCTGCATTCGCTGGTTCCCAGACTTCATGAATTCAAGCGTCCTACGAGGCTGGCATCTCGCTCTCACCCTTTCACTGTCGAAAATACTAAATGTAGCCGTCTCTTCTACTCCAATAGCTTCATACCTCGCACCTCCCGCCTGTGGAACTGCTTTCCCTATTCCAGTTTCCCTGAGAGCTATAATCTCCAACTATTCAAATATAATGTCAATCGACATCTCCAGTTGCCTTAATCTATCCACTATCCTTCTCCTTATGCTTTCCTCTATCACTCCTATCTGCTTTCGCTCCAAATCCTCTGTAACCCATTGCGTGCTAGTGGCTCCAGTGAAATGCTTATAAAAAAAAAAAAGATGCAGAGCCAAATGAAAGAAATTGTAAGAAAGGCGCGTGCGTCTGGTACTGAATACCGATCTGAATTTAAAAAAAAAAAAAACAACAACAGAGTATCAGCCATAAACACCTTGGCTGTCCATGTGGTGCACAATACAGTTTCAACATCCTTAACTGGACCATAGTTGACATTAACCGAATGGACCCCAAAACGAGAAAGCTTCTCACCTGCCACCGCGTGTATCATCCCAAGGCTGATGTTGATATTTTATATGTGCCCAGATCCGAAGGAGGCAGAGGATTAGTTCAACTAGAACTGTCTCACAAAACTACAAAAACTGGCCTTCAAAGATACCAAGAAACTGTGTCAAAGAATATAAAATTAAGAAGTAACTTTATTAAGTAATAATGGAAGCCAACAAATTCAAAATAGTGTTTCAAGTGGGTGTAAAAATAAAAGCACAATACACTGACTGAAGCTGCAAAATACTTAAATAAAAAGAAAGTAAAAGCAAATACAATCGACCAGATACAGAAACGATGGCAGGATAAACTGCTTCACGGTCAATACTCTGCCCTTTACAAACAAGCTTATGTAGACAAACCCCGTACACATCAGTGGCTACGTAGAGCAGGGTTAAAAGCTGAAACTGAAGGTTTTATTCTTGCTGCACAGGACCGATCAGAAATGATCAAGCACACATACTGAAAAATTGTGTTATCCCAAAATACAGATTCTGTGATAAACATCCAGAAACAATCGAACATTTTGTATCAGGTTGCGCAGTATTAGCCCCCACTGAATATAAGACCTGGAATGAAAGATTCGGCCAATATCTGCACTGGACATTGGTATGAACACCACCCAGACCCAGTTACGGAGATAGAACCTGTAACAATTTGATGGGACTTCACAATATGCACAGACAGAACAAGCAAAGGCAATCACCTAGAGATCTTGATTAGAGGACCGCAAAGACAAAAAGTGGCTCTTTATTCGCATTGGCACTTCCTGC